CCCCCATTTTTCTGCATTCTGCATATTAAAAAGCTTCATACTTGGAAGTTGGAGCTGGAGGCTGAGATGGGTGAAGATGTTGTTTAAGATTAATCATATAAGCACTGTGCAGTCACTGCTTCAGTTTCTCAGGCAATAGCAAATAGGAATATCATGACTTGAGAACTTTGCAGAGTAAAGTATGTGAATGTGTATTTATAGAGGGCAGGAGGGGTAATTCCTATTATCATGTGATAGCAACAATGCTCTCAGCAGTCCTGCCCCTGCTGCCAAACTGTATTCTCTTCTGGTTTTTATTGTCAACATGAGTAGTCACCACATAACTTATTTGCTAATTCTTAATAAACACATACTTCACTTCTCAATCCATTGCAGCTCAGTCTTCAGTTTCCAACAAGTGCAAACACATGCCCTCTAGACACATAACATTTAAAAGTGGGATCTGCCTGTAGCACCATTATCATTTGTGGCTTCAAGGTTATGATCTTAGATTTATGGCTGACTCTTCATGTTCTTTGCTTCAATTCCTTCACAAAGCACCTGCTGAAACTGCCTTTTGGACTTCTTTCTGGGCCTACATTACATTAACAGCCTCCCTGATTAATCTCTCTGACTTCAAATTTCTCCACTCTAGCCTGTCTACATGCAGCTGTCTGGCAAAGTATTCTTTGAATTCTCTTGTTTCAGCTTACTATAGAGATCAAAACTTGGCATTTGTCTCATGTTTATTGTATTAAAGGAGCTCTGGTGGCATAGTGGATAAGCATTTGGCTGCTAACCGGTAGGTCAGTGGTTCAAACTCCCCAGCTGCTCTGCAGAAGGAAGATAGGGCGATCTACTTCTATAAAGATTTACAGCCTTGGAAACCCAATGGGAGTTGCTATGAGTCGGATTTGACTCCATGGCAGTGACTTTATTTTTTGGTTTTGATTATATTAAGTCTAAACTGTTCAACCTAGTGTTCTTTCAATACCTCTGCCTTTTTTATGACTCTAGCTCATCTGGTTCAGTCATCTAAGGTCTTTCGCCCACAACCCATGGCTTGCCATTGCTGAATTTACACCATCACTTGTATCTTTTAAAGCAGAACGCCCCCTCCTACTCCATTTCCTCGTTATCAGTCCCCTTGGCTCCTGGGCTTCTCTAATTGGGCGGTTTTCAGAAACCTTTCCCGACTGATTCAATTGAACTTGTACCTACTCCACGGTGATATGCTCACTCTGCTTTACATTATCTTGTCTTTGCAGAAGGTAATGAAATTCTGATTTTTAAAAGTCTGGTTTCTTTTCTTTCTACTTAAGGACACACATCTTGTGCAGAGGGCATGATAAGTGCTACATTGACTGCAGGCTGTATTTTCCAGAGATTTGATGTTAGAGGCTTAAGCTTCAATAAGCTTCTGGAATCTAGGGAGGCATATTCCAAAGATCCAGTCCCTGGGTGATCTTATTCTTTCTCTCTGCTTCAGCTCCAGTGACATTTTTTTTTTTTTTTCCTGTTGTGATTTGGGTGAAAGTTTACAGAACAAATTGGTTTTCATTCAACAGTTCATGCACATTTTGTTTCATGACATTGGTTGCAATCCCCACAATGTAACGTCACTTTTCCCACTTCCTCCCCATGTTTATTATTTCCCTTTGTCCTTTCTGATTCCTTCCTGCCTTCTGAACTTCAATCCCTGGGTAAATGCTGCCCTTTTGATCTCTTATGATTTGATTATTCTAAGGAGTGAATACTTCCCTGATATAATTGTTTGTGTTATAAGCCTGTCATTTTGCTGAAAGTTGAACCATGGGGTGAGTTCATATCCTAGCTTGAAGGGTGTCTAAGGGCTGTAGTCTCGGGGGTTCTACCAGTCTCTATCAGATAAGTAAGCCTGGTCTTTTTTATATGAGTTTGAGTTTTGTTCCACATTTTCCTCCCTCTCTATGCAGAACCTTCTATCATGATTCTGTTCAGAGTGGTCAGCAGTAGTAGCAGTGGACACCATGCAGTCCTTCTGGTCTCTGGGTCCTGGAGGCTGGGGTTCATGTGGTCCATTAGTCCTTTGGACTAATTGTTTCCTTTCATCTTTGTTTTTTCTTTGTTGGCTGTTTGATGGCTCTCAACTATGTACACTCCTCTCTCCTGAGCTTCATACTCATGTATCCCACCTTGACTCTTGGATCTTCCTTCACAGGCAATTTAAACTAATTCTCTTTCAACCTGAAATTGTTTCTCTGTCTACTATCTCTTTATCCTCAAAGTGTGTCTCCCTCTGTATTCCTCATTTTGGTTAATGGGTAGCTTCCAAATTAGAAATCTCGGTGTCTCCTTTACTCCTTTGTCATTCTCAAATGCAGTCAATAATTAAGTTTGTCTTTGTGATTTCTCCTCATTCTCCATTCCATCCCCTTTGTCTCTATTCAGTCCTCATCTCCCTCCTGAATTTCTTGCCTCTTTCTCTTCTGCTGACATCCTACATGACCATAAAGGTTGTTTTTCAATAAAAGCCAAACTTAGTCTTATCATTTCCTTGTTCTTAGACCTCTGCTGTTTCCCAATTGTCCTCAGAATTGGATCTGGACTTCTCAACATGGTCATGAGATCTTGTACAAGCTGATCCGTTGCTTCTACAACTGTGTCTCCCATCCTTCTCCTTCAGCCCCTTTGTCCCACAGTCGTGCCACATGGCTTCTTTGTACATAGTGCTATCTATTCCAAATGCCGAGGACATTAGCACTTCTACTGTTGATTTGCAGTTTGTGTATTGATGCCACAATCACACTTTAGAAACTGTAGATTTATATATTTATTATACACTTCTCTGGCAGATGGCAGTAAATTGAATTGCTCTAACTAACATCAGTATATTCTGGCGATTAAGGAAGAGAAACCTTTTTATCACATAAAACAGATTATGGCCTGAGGAACATCCTCTGTTCTTAGACCCTTAGTTCTCTGGCAGGCAAATTCCTTCTCATCTTTTAAAACCCAGTATAAATATCTCTTCCTCATGAAGCCTTTTTTGATACTCTCTGAAATAATCAGTCCTTTTCATTGCACTAATATGGTATTTGGTTACTCCCTTCTTAACGGTACTTATCATATTATAGTGTAATAATTGGCATATGAATCTATCTGCCCCCTGCATTCTGAGACTGTAAAACACAGGGGCAATGTTTTATTCATCTTTATTTTTAAAAATCGTCATATATATATGTTGTTGTTAGGTGCCATCGAGCGTCAAGTTGGTTTCAACTTGTAGTGATGCTACGTACAACAGAACGAAACTGCCCGGTCTTGCGTCATCCTCACAATTGTTGCCATGCTTTGAGCCCATCGTCACAGCTGCTGTGTCAATCCATCTCATTGAGGGTCTTCCCCTTTTTTACTGACCCTCTACTTTACCCAGCATGCTATCCTTTTTTAGGGACTGGTCCCTTCTGATAGCATGACCAGAGTATGAGAGATAAAGTCTGGCCATTCTTGCTTCTAAGGAGCATTCCAGCTGTACTTCTTCCAACATAGATTTCTTCATTCTTGTGTTAGTCCATGGTACATTCAATGTTCTTTCCAAACACCACACAATTCAAATGCATCAATTCTTCTACAGTCTTCCTTATTCATTGTTCAGCTTTCTGACATATATGAGGTAATTGAAAATAGCATGGCTTGGGTCAGGCATACTTTAGTATTCAAAGTAACATCTTTGCTCTTAAACACTTGAAAGAGGTCTTTTGCAGCAGGTTCGCCACATACATACATATATACGTGTGTGAGAGTGTGTGTGTGTGTGTGTGAGTGTGTGTGTATAAATGTACGTGTATATATACATATGGGAGCTCTGGTGGTGTAGTGCCTAAGGCATTTGACTGCTAACCAGAAGGCTGGCGGTTCAAACCCATTAGCCATTCCTCAGAAGGAAGGTTGGGCAATCTACTTCCTTAGTGATACTGCCTCAGAAACCCAGGCAGGGGTCGTTATGAGTCGGATCCGACTCGATGACAATGAGGTATTTTTTTTTTTAACGTATACATATATATGTGTATGTATATATATGTATGTATATATGTATATGTATATATGTGTATGTATATATGTATATAAAATGCCAAATTTTATTTTATAAATATATATATATATATATATATCCCTTTTTAACTGTACAGTTCAGTGGCATTAATTATATGCACAATGTTTTGCAATAAAGACTATTTGTTTTCAAGACTTTATCATCCTAAACATAAACTCCATACCATTAAGCAATAACTCCTTTTTTCCTGCTTTGTTTAATACCCGGTAACAGTAATCTACTTTTTGTCTCTGCATTTGCCTGTTCTAGGTATTTCATGTAAGTAGAAACATATAATATTTGTCCTTTTGCGTCTGGCTTATTTCACTTGACATAATGTTTTCAAGGTTTTCTTTATGGGTGAAAAATATCCTATTGTATATCTATCTCTCTCTCCCACATATACATACATGTTGTGTATCCATTCATCTGTTGATGGTCATTTGTATTGTTTCTACCTTATTGTTATTGTGAATAATGCTGTAATGAATGTTAGTATATAAGTATCTGAATCCATGCTTTCATTTCCTTTAAGTATATACCTAGGAGTGGAATTTCTGGGTTATATGGCAATTCTATGTTTAACTTTTTGAAGGAATAGCCAAACTATTTCCCACAGTGGCTGTACCTTTATTCATCCTTTGATCATCAGCATGTAGCCCAATATCAAGTACACAGAGTATATCACTAAGCCTAACATATATTTGATTGCTTAGCATGGTTCCGACACAGAGGTAAATACCCACATTATCTTATTTAATCCTCACAACAGCCTCGTGAATCCTGTTGTTATCTCATTTTATAGTCTTAAATCTAGGCAGGTAAGATGAACAGCTGGTAAATGGCATGTGTGATGGTGCTGGGCTGTGTCCTGGGGGACTTGTCATGGTTGGTGCAGTTGTTTTTCCAGTGACTCTCTTACTTTTCTGTTTTGTCTCTCAGGTTAATGATGAGGGTGTGCTGGCTGGTGAGACAGGATAGTCGGCATCAGCGAATCAGACTCCCACATTTGGAAGCAGTTGTGATTGGGCGCAGCCCGGAGACCAAGATCACTGATAAGAAATGTTCTCGACAGCAAGGTATCTATCTGGTCTTAGGAATGTGGAGATAACCATGTTTGGTTCCTCAGGAACTAAATTCTTTTGGCCAATACCTGGGCCCCATTCATCTCCAATTCTGCCTTCCCAATTTGGTGATATTCAGGGTGGAGTTGGGGGAATGTTGGAGGCAGGCAGACACCATCCTGTTAACATGGGATAGTGCAACTGAGGCCTTCATTCTGCTTTGCCCAGGAAAATTCCTCCCTGGACAGTGAGAAGGATGAATTCTGGGGCTGAAATCATGTCTGAGAAGTGATGGGGTGGTTTCATCTTTTCCGTATTGCCCCCACAACAGGCTGGTATCTCAGTAAGGCCAAATCGTCCAGCTCTTTAAATGTCTTTCTTGAGTTTTAATGAAATGAAAATCCTTGCCCTCAGGAAAAAGCCTTACCATGTGCCTCATTTTTTCCCAGAAAGCTTTGATAATTGCATGTACTCACTGTTACTACACCTGAGTGTGACCCTAGGGGTTTTCCAAGGGTTCTGCACTTTGAGAGTTGGAATCTGCAGCACTGATTATGGTTTTTCCCACCTGAATTAATCTAAAATGGAGTAAAGCCACACTTGAGTGGCTAGGCCCAAGACAGATAACAGATGCTATTCTCTCTCTTCTCCCCTCTTCACAACATCAGGTGCATGGGCCCTGCATGCATGTGGGCCTGATCTCAGCTGTTCTCCCTGGTGAGCAGCTGTGGGGTCTTCTCTTTACTCTCTATTACACCCTAGACACTGTATTTACTTATCAGAATGTGAGTGTTCAATGTTACTTCTGTTTTATCCCTGCAATCTTCTTTCCAGAACATTCCCTCTACTCCTACTAAACTTGTTTTCCAGGAATGTATCTTTTACCTCTTTTTTGTTGAAGGCATCTGGTAGTTTTGTATAATAGTGGAAACCTGAGTTAATCCTTAGTCAGTAGCTTGTGGGTCCCCTTCCCTAGTTGCCAAGTCTGATCCCAAGCAGGCCAGGGGCTTTAGAATAGGGAGATGTGTGGGGGTTTGATGAAGCTGTCTCATAGGGATATTAACAGTAGTTAAGTGAGTATGTAGGAGCTCTGGTAGCATAGTGCCTAAAGCACTTGACTGCTAACCAGAAGGCTGGCAGTTCAAACCCACCAGTAACTCCTCGAAAATAAGGTTGGGCAATCTACTTCCGTAGTGATAGGGCTTCGGAAACCCAAGGAGGGGTTGCTATGAGTTGGGTCCAACTCGATGGCACATAACAGCAACAACAAGGGAGTATGTACACTTTTGGACCTTTTATGCTGGATTTGAAGCTCTTAGAAATTGATGGCATTTTGAGCCCTAGCTCATAGGCCTTGGGGAAGCATCTGTCAAGTTACCTGCTGGAGTAAGGCTTCATTGTCCTGTAGAGAGAATAGGAGCAAGTGCTTGCTTCCAAGTGGAATTTAACTTTTTCCATTCTCTTTCAGTAGAGTTGAAAGCAGAGTGTAACAAGGGATATGTCAAGGTAAAGCAGGTATGTGTATTTATAACACGCATTTCCATATTATGCTTGATGATTTTCTTATGCTATTGAATTTAGAGTATCTGTGCCAGCCAATGAAGGCTACTCTCTCATGGAAAGGTCTTCTGCCTTTTTTTTTTTTTTAAATTTTTATTGTGAGTTGAGTGAAAGTTTATAGAGCAAATTCATTTTCCATACAGCAGTTCATACACAATTTGTTTTATGACATTGACTGAAATTTCTCACAGTGTAACAGCTTTCTTCCCACTTCCTCCCTGTGGTTCCCTCTTTCCTGTGTCCTTCCTTCCCATCCACTTCCACCCCCAAGCTGTCTCCCTGTGCAAACACTGCCCTTCTGTTCTTCCATGATTGATTGCTCCAAATAATGTGTATCTATCTGATATAAATGTTCACCCCATATTCCTGTCTATTGTTTGGCTGGAAGCCACAGGAGCAAGTTCAGCTCCACACCTGAAGGGTACCTAGGGGTCATAGTCTCAGGGATCTCACCAGGCTTTATCAGACCAGCAAACCTGTTTTTTTTTTTTTTTTAATTTTGTTCCACATTATTCTCACACTCTATCCAGGATCTCCTGTACTGATCCCCTCCAAGTGGTTGACATTGGTAGCCAGGCACCATCTAGTTCTGGTCTCATAGTCATATAGGCTGAGGATCTCATGGTCTGCTAGTCCCTTGGACAATTTGTTTCCATGTGTCTTTGCTTTTCTTCATTCTTCTTTGCTCTGCACAAGGAGAGAAGGTCTCTTGCCCTTTGAAGACTTCTCCCAACACAACTGAATTCTGGCAGTGCTGAGAAGTAGGGAAAGAATTGCTTCTGCCAAAGGAATGCAGGACAGGGGAGAAGGAGAGATTGTTTTTAACCCTGGACTCTGGCTGGGGAGATATGTTCCAGTCTCTTGGATTTTCTATGGAATTATGGGACTTGGTCGGAAGAAAGATGGGGCAATCTACTTCCGTAGTGATATTGCCTCGGAAACCCAAGGAGGGGTTGCTATGAGTCAGGTCCAACTTGATGGCACATAACAACAACAACATGGGACTTGGTAGTATAATCAGTACTGTCATTCAGCCACATTACAGATTAACATGGGGGTCTTTAGCCAGGTTGGTATTGTAACTGATTTAGGAAACTGGTTATGTGGGGAAAATGTATTCCAAACTTCCTGTAGCCAACTTAGAAATGAACTTTTGGAAACAGACCCTGTTTGTAAATGGCTATATTATTAAAGATGTTATTGCTATTGTTAAAATTATTTTCTGATCATTTCCTCTTTAGGTAGGGGTCAATCCGACCAGCATTGACTCAGTCATAATTGGGAAGGACCAAGAGATGAAGCTGCAGCCTGGCCAGGTTCTCCACATGGTGAATGAACTTTATCCATATGTTGTAGAGTTTGAGGAAGAGGCCAAAAGCCCTGGCTTGGAAACACATAGGAAGAGAAAGAGGTCAGGCAACAGTGAGTCTACAGAAAGGCATGTTGCCCAGAAAGCTGAGCCAGGGACAGAACTGGATCCTGGGAGCAATCCTACCCAATGCTCTGTGCCCCCAAAGAAGGAGGAAGGTGCATCTACCAAAAAGGTGAGGGTAAGGTACTGGATATTTGATGTGGAAGTTAAATGAGATATGACTGTTTAAGCATTTTGTACACTATAAAACCCAGTCATATATAAGGAGTTATTAACCCTGAAGGGGTTTATTAAATATGATGAAGAGTCACTTGTTTGTGGAATGAAAACCACTTGAGTGAATGCCCCTTTACTTATTTTTCTCTTGAATTCCTAAGGTAGAATGATAATGGCAGTAGAGTTAACAATGAACTACTTAAAAATGGGTTGGTCATTTGTAGGTCTTTCGAAGGTTAGCATGGGAAAACATTGCCTAGATCATGTAATTCCCATCCAGATATCAAAGTGGAAACTTTGTTAGGCTGTAGATGGAAGGAAGAGAGAAAGAGGGTACAGAAGACAGTTCACATCGGGTGGCACTTTGGTCTCCGTCTAGATACCCAGCTGTGAAATAGAAGGAAAGCGGGGAGGGCTTTTAGGCTTAAAAGGGATCTAGTTTAATTTTAAAAACTAACTATATTTCTAAGTTTGTTGGGACTTCGGGTTCACCCTCTAGATTAACTAATGCCAAATTTAGCTGTTGGCATTTGTAATTTACGTCACCCTTTTCATGTCTTAGGAATTTTTAGGCCACTGGAGTCAAGGTTTGAAGGTTTCTATGCAAGATCCTAAGATGCAGGTAAGAAGAAATTTTGGGATTAAAGTCTATTTCTTGTTTTAAACACCCATTGCATAGAGGTCACGTGTACACTATAAATTAAATCAAAGGAGATCAATTCTTTGAATGAGATTTGTTTTCTTGGCCTGTTTTGTGAGAACAGATGGCTTTTTCCATTGGCAGTAAAGTAGTAACTGGAATTCTTTGGAAAGAAGCTAAGTGCTTCAAATGAATGTCTATTCCCCTTTGGGTACTTCTAAGATGTGATAACCTCAGTGAGGTCCCTTTCAAGGGAGCTTCGTATTGTGACTGTAGTTACTGGGCTGCATTATCCTGGGAGGAACTTTGAATTTTCCTCAAATTACATCCTGGCTTGGCAAGAGGCCAGTTCTGATAGGGCTTCTTAGAACACAGGTACATGCATCATACCGCCCTTGGGGTGGAGAAGGGTATATTCAAATTTGTGCCTGTGGGGATTTTATATCTGCTCCATGAAACTCTGGTAACGTAGTGCCTAAGGCACTTGACTGCTAACCAGAAGGCTGGCAGTTCAAACCCACCAGCCACTCCTCAGAAGGAAGATGGGGCAATCTACTTCCGTAGT